CGCTCCCTCACCTGTGGAAGCAGTGCGCGGCCGACAGCACCCAGTACTCGCTGATGATGGAGCCGCCGCACACGTGGAAGCCGGCATAGTGCACGCTGACCTGCCACGGCCACTTCCTCTCCGGGGCGGGGTCGCCACCCAAGACCTTGCCCTGTATGGCACGCCGGCCACAGGCTGGGAGGAGAGGGACGGAGCGCCGAGTGGCAGTGACGCCAGGGCGACGGGAGGGGCAGGGCAGCAGGGGGACACCTGGGGAAGGGGACAGCGGGAGACACGGGAGGGAGGAGCCGGGGACACGGCGGGGGGCGGGGAGAAGAAGGCAGGAGACACAGGAGGGAGGCCAGCGGGGCTGGGGAGGGGGTCGGGCAGGGCGCCCGAAGGCACCGTCTCCACGTAGGGGAGAAGGGACCACCGCCCGCCAGCACCCAGGGGCAGGGGTCTACCAATGGCACCAGTCAGGGAGACTGTGTTGGTCTTGGGGTGTCCACGCACGGAGGCTGCGCCCTGGGCGGGGGGCTGGAGCAGGAGCAGGAGTAGTAGGAAGCCCAGGGCTGAGGGCCCCGGCCCAGATAGGGGTGAGGCCATGAAGCCACAGGTGGCGGCCCCAGCAGGTGAGGGCCCTGGACCTATACGCTGCCTGTGTCCCCCGCACGTGACTACCGCACGGGCCCAGGACACGTGATGGCACCCATCCCCATCCCAATACACCTGGGTTTGGCATTCCTTCCCATAGTCATATCTAGACATACTGGCTCCCTTTGAGAATTGTGTTATAAATCACAATGTTTTCAGCTTTCTCTGTGGCAGACTTGGCTCTGTTAGGTCAGTTACTATTTACACATCTGCAATTCAGAGTCAAAAACTTTTTTGTGAAAGCTTCATTTACACACAGTAAAATTTACCCCTTTTGCAAGTTTTGGCAAATGCATACAATCCTGTTATCATCAAGATATGAAAGAGTTTCATAGGATTACCTAACAGAATATAAGGAGAAGAATAAAACTTTATTGAGGGATGTTAAAGACAAATGAATGGCGGGATATCCAATGTTCATGGATATGAAGGCTTATTGTTATAAATACAATGGTCTCCAATCTATAGATTCAATGCAATTCCAATAAAAATCCTGGCATAGTTTTCAAATGCACACTAAAATATTGTTTTAAAAGTTATATTTCACATGGAAGGTTACAGAACCAAGAAGAATAAGGCAGATAAATTTTCTCTGCAAGATACCAAATCCTGTTATGTTGTAGTAATTAAAACATCAGAGGTGCATATGCAGAAACAGAAATTTGACTAATTGATAATGGGCTTGTCTTAAAAATTGATCATGAATTGTCTTCTTTCAGGTTGCTGTAATAAAATACCATAAACTGGGTGGCTTATAAACTACAGAGATTTATTTCATAGTTGTGCAGGCTGGAAGTCTGAGATCAGGGTGTCAGTGTGGTTAGGTTCTGATGTGAGCTGTCTTCTGGGCTGCCAACTGCTGTCTTCTCACTGTGTCCTCACATGGAGGAAGCAGTGAGGGGGCTCTCAAGGGTCCCCTTTTTAAGGGCACCAATCCCAATCATGAAGACTCCACCTTCATGACCTAATCCTTTCCCAAAGGCCCCGTCTCCTAATTCCATCGCAGTAGGGGTGAGGATTTCAACATAGGAATTGCAGAGTGGGGGCAAAAATATTCAATCCGTTACAGAAATAGAGCCCAGAATTAGATCGTTATATATATGGAACTTTGATACATAACTGAGGTGG